ATTTGCCAAGTTGCTTGGTAGTTTTGGAGATTAATTTTCTGAACTATGCAGTTGTCTGCATTGCTTCTCATACTTTCTATATGCTCCCTCAGTATGGATGATTGTAATACTCTCCAGCTCTCTATACCTGCCTCTATGACAGGGACCAGGTTCTGGCTCTGGTCCCAGGTAGACCAAACACTACTCCTATGACAGACGTGAATAGTGGGAAGCCATCTCAGTGAGACAGCTTTAGGGAGCCACCAGGGGCTCCCCTAGAAATTTAATTTAGGATTTTAAAATATTATACAAGTTTACTGGTTAACTTCTGATAAAAATAAGTAGCAGTCTGAAAAATGAAATCATCAGAAGCTTTCCATTTTTAGCTTTTATAAAAATTTATAAACATCATATATTGCATATTTTTGGAAGGGTAACTTTGAATAATTATATTATATGCACTAAACACTTTTTGGCTAAAACCCCAATTACAAATCCTTTATTACATGCTAATGTGATATCTGAGTGTTATAGAAATGATTTTAGTTGACACATGTGTTCCCTGCAACTTTTTGAAAATGTTGAAAATTCGTTGCATAATACGTTCTGTATTTTTTTCTCCTTTTCTGTTTAGGGTGTGATGCTGAAACTTGGACCAGTTGCAGCCCTTTCTATAACCATTTCATAAATAAATTTATAAACAAATTGAACAACTTTTACTTTACCCGCAATAAGCCCCCTTAATTAATAGTAATCACACAATTTTTGTACCATAGTATCAAGAGATATTATACATTTATAACCTTCATTAATGAATTATGGGAATACTGACACACTTTGATTTTTACTCTACAAATCTTCATAGTCAGCAATAATAATACGGAAACATAACTTAGGGGGTCACCTTAAATATAGTGAAAGTGTCATGAATTATGTAAGATAACACTTCTTGGAGCTCCTCAATAGCTTCCCGATACTACAAGCTGGCAAGGACCCGACATGGCAAGGGTTCCGCCAGACCTCTAAACACCCACCGGCACCTACTGGGGACCAAGATCACAATCTGCACCCCCCAAAGGCCAGACTGGGAATCAGAGATCACTGCAGTGCAAAATAAATATCCCACCAGAAGGCTAAAGTGCTCCAATACAAATAACTGCTTGGAAAAATTGGTAACCCTGGCAAAAACAATGCCAAATGATCATTACTACGGGAAAATGACCATCATGATATCAAACCCTCCACACAGTGAATCAAACCCTCCACACAATGAATCAAACCTTCCACACACAGAATCAAACCCTCCACACACAGAATCAAACCCCTCGACACAGTGAATCAAACCCTCCACACACAGAATCAAACCCTCCACACAGTGAATCAAACCCTCCACACACAGAATCAAACCCTCCACACAGTGAATCAAACCCTCCACACACAGAATCAAACCCTCCACACAGTGAATCAAACCCTCCACACAGTGAATCAAACCCTCCACACAGTGAATCAAACCTTCCACACACAGAATCAAACCCTCCACACAGTGAATCAAACCTTCCACACACAGAATCAAACCCTCCACACAGTGAATCAAACCTTCCACACACAGAATCAAACCCTCCACACACAGAATCAAACCCTCCACACAGTGAATCAAACCCTCCACACACAGAATCAAACCCTCCACACAGTGAATCAAACCCTTCACACACAGAATCAAACCCTCCACACAGTGAATCAAACCCTCCACACACAGAATCAAACCCTCCACACACAGAATCAAACCCTCCACACAGTGAATCAAACCCTCCACACAGTGAATCAAACCCTCCACAAAGTGAATCAAACCCTCCACACAGTGAATCAAACCCTCCACACACAGAATCAAACCCTCCACACAGTGAATCAAACCTTCCACACAGTGAATCAAACCCTCCACAAAGTGAATCAAACCCTCCACACAGTGAATCAAACCTTCCACACAGTGAATCAAACCCTCCACACAGTGAATCAAACCTTCCACACAGTGAATCAAACCTTCCACACAGTGAATCAAACCCTCCACAAAGTGAATCAAACCCTCCACACAGTGAATCAAACCCTCCACACAGTGAATCAAACCCTCCACACAGTGAATCAAACCCTCCACACAGTGAATCAAACCCTCCACACAGTGAATCAAACCCTCCACACAGTGAATCAAACCCTCCACACAGTGAATCAAACCTTCCACACAGTGAATCAAACCCTCCACACAGTGAATCAAACCCTCCACACAGTGAATCAAACCTTCCACACAGTCAATCAAACCCTCCACACAGTGAATCAAACCCTCCACACAGTGAATCAAACCCTCCACACAGTGAATCAAACCCTCCACACAGTGAATCAAACCCTCCACAAAGTGAATCAAACCTTCCACACAGTGAATCAAACCCTCCACACAGTGAATCAAACCCTCCACACAGTGAATCAAACCCTCCACACAGTGAATCAAACCTTCCACACAGAGAATCAAACCCTTCACACAGAACCCTTCACAAAGAACGCCTTTAGAAACTTGTGTAAGGAATCTTTCAGAACATTATATACCACATATGTCAGACCAATCCTGGAGTATGCGGCACCAGCATGGAGTCCATATCTAGTCAAGCATAAGACTAAAATGGAAAAGGTTCAAAGGTTTGCCACCAGACTAGTACCCGAGCTGAGAGATATGAGCTACGAGGAGAGACTACGGGAATTAAACCTCACTTCGTTGGAAGAGAGAAGAGTTAGGGGGGACATGATCACCACAATCAAGATCCTCAAGGGAATCGACAGGGTTGATAAAGACAGGCTGTTTAACACAAGGGGCACACGCACTGGGGGACACAGGTGGAAACTGAGTGCCCAAATGAGCCACAGAGATATTAGAAAGAACTTTTTTAGTGTCAGAGTGGTTGACAAATGGAATGCATTAGGAAGTGATGTGGTGGAGGCTAACTCCATACACAGTTTCAAGTGTAGATATGATAGAGCCCAATAGGCTCAGGAACCTGTACACCTGTTGATTGACAGTTGAGAGGCGGGACCAAAGAGCCAGAGCTCAACCCCCGCAAGCACAACTAGGTGAGTACAACTAGGTGAGTACAGAGAACCAAACCCTCCACACAGAGAATCAAACCCTCCAATTTAGAACACCAGAGTCAAGGGGCAACCACTGATCCTCCTCAGACAATCCATGACCCACTGACCTTTCCTGACCCTTTCCCCACAGTGGAAGAAGAGCCTGGGTGGGTGTCAATACACTTCACCCTCCTGAGCCCTGCTAGCACAAAGGGTCAGCAAGGGAAGCCAACCCCCCCCCCCTCAGGTGTGTCCCACAGAAATAAAAGAGTGGAAGGTTCCACCATGTCTGTTAAGATCCCTAGGTGGAGGGGCCCCCAAAGGTGCCCTCGCCAACCTCATATCGGTGACTGAAGAGTCTAAAGTCATTTAGGAGCTCATACCAACAGAGGATGCAAGGGACAGGGCTGTGTGAACCAGCTGCTCAATGGCTCAAGTAGAGGAATGAAAGAGAGGCTGGCATGTATATGGCACAGCTGTCCAAAATCAAAACCCTCAACATCCTCCTCATGAAACAACAGAAGATCGGCAGCCATGCTACTCAGTTCAATCGGGTGCCACAGAAACCAGAACCACAAACTGTGATTCCACTGCCTGATAAACCGATGTCCAAGAAAAAAGATGGGAGTTTATCGAGACATCACATACTGACAAAAAGCACACTAAATGTGTCCACTTGTGTCCTAAACATTGAATAGCATTGTGAAAAACTGCACACAGGAGCATCAGGCACTGGGCCGGCAAGAAAGCCCCAACCGTACAATGAAGCGCCTCAACTTGACAGCTCCATCCCCCCCTCATCTTCAATGGCGTGGAATAATAGCCACCTGGACTGCCCTGAGACAAGCAGGTAGGCCAAGCACATGAGAAGCATCATGACTGGCCAAAATGCCAATACCCAATCAGACAACTCAGCAGGGGAAGGCATATGCAGTCACATTCAAGAAAACTCTTGTGCTATCCAAGTGCACCCTCGGCTAAAGTGCATGACATGACTGTACCAGGGACAAAGCCAGGCACAACACACACATAAGCACACAGCTAACTACAAGCACGCCTATCAACAAAATTCACGGAGGAAAAGCGAGAAGACTTGAAAAAAAAAAAAAAGAGAGTCAACTCGTAGAGGTGGACACCTGAACCCTTCAAAGATAACTGGTAGAGCAAGGAAAACACAAGCTGGCTAACATGGAAGAGAATCCTGATAAACAGCCAGAGCAAATTGAAATAACAGGGCACTCTCAAGCGGGTGGCACAAGCACGAAGCAGGAAATGAAACAAACAAAACGATATTCTCCACAGAGAATGAAACTTTCCAAAGACAGCCAACGCCACTTATCTGAAAGTGTAATCCTGACTGTGGGCCAAGCGATCCTGACTGCACCAAGTATTTGAATGAGGTGACTGGCTGGCGAGGACACAGGGTGACCTGGCTGGCCTGCATTAACGCTGGGCCTGTTTGCCATGTTTTCATCAGCATTATAAATTTCCTTTTAAGCAGCTGGTTGTTTTGATACACTTATACCATCTGGTTCTGGCTTCCTGAAGGCTGAGGAGGGTCTCGGTGGCCTGGCACGATTCCCTAAGTCCTAGCATCTCCAGATATCTGATACCACTCAAAGAGTGGTATTATATCTGCGTAATATAATCCAAAAGAAACTTTGTTTATTAAAACAAATATTAAACCAACTATTATTTTGTAACTGGTTACTTCGAGTTTTGAGGGAAGGATTTAACAGGACACTTTTTGAGTTAGATAGGCATGTTTTGAAGCAGCAATCACTCGCAGCCAGTTAGGTTAATCAATTATCAAATAATCAAGATTTGATTATGGACAATTATTCAAGTAACAAAAGCTGGAGGAAATAAAACTGGTCCTTGAATGGTTGTGAGAAATCTAATGTGGTACAAACCCTTCTCCTTCAAGGGGCTGAGTGACCGTTGATGACTGAGGCGCTGCGGAGCCTTGTGTCTGTGCCTTGATGGCTGCCAGAGGCTCCCGGACACTGATGCTTGTGTAGCCTCGAGAATCCTGGGAGTCGCCACTGAAGTTCTGCTGCGATGTTACTTCTATGCCAGCCTGTATTACAATATTAAGTTAAAATGAACATTAAAGTACTGTTCATATTCTGTCTTAAAAAAATGTAACTTGTTATACACACAGGAATGATAGCTAGATAATATATGCTGCTAATTTCTAAATAACATTCTCAAGTCTCACACTGTGATGAAGTGTAATGTGTGAGAACATTTCCCACAAAATAAAGTAGTTATAACAACTGTGCATGTAGATCTTACCTCTTCAGTCTGCTTGCCAAAAGTAAACAAAAGATACATCAGAGTGCAAATATATCACAAATCAAACACAATCACCTATGATTCACAAGATATAATACAACTGCATATCATTTTCAATCACAGATAATCGAGGCAGGTGTACCCGGCTTCTGAACCAGGCACATTACACCAAAAATGAGTGGTCTGCATGTATGATGAGGGAATGAGGGGAGGGAGGTTATCTTGAGGTTATTTTGAGATGATTTCGGGGCTTTTAGTGTCCCCGCGGCCCGGTCCTCGACCAGGCCTCCACCCCCAGGAAGCAGCCCATGACAGCTGACTAACACCTCGGTACCTATTTAACTGCTAGGTAACAGGGGCATAGGGTGAAAGAAACTCTGCTCATTGTTTCTCACCGGCGCCTGGGATCGAACCCAGGACCACAGGATCACAAGTCCCGCGTGCTGTCCGCTCGGCCGACCGGCTCCCCAGGCATAGGCATAGGGAAGGCATAGTTTGGGCATTGGGGCTTACCTAACAATTTACAAGCAGTGAAATGTAGCCCTTGGGCCAAGCCCCATAGCTAGTGTACCTGCTGCATATAAGCTTCACAATTAACTAGTACTCTGTTTTACTTGCTCTCAAAGCTGTGATTGGAGGTGGCTACCACCACCTCTCCTATCAACTCTCATCACTTATAGCATGTACTCAAATGAACATTTACTTACATCTGTGCTCACTTTTTTTTACCTCTTCACCCTCATTCCATTTTCCCTCATTATAAAAACATCGGCTCTATTATTCACCTCAGAATCTTTCATGATATAGTATAATCATATCTTCTCTTGAGTCAGGTTTCTTCTAGTGTTGTCAAAGCTCAGTTTCTTAACTCTATCACCAGGTCTTCAACCTTTGTTTGCAATAAACAAGGTATTTCCATTCTGGTGCTGTATACGCAAACTAGTTTGATGTAGGCTGTGTATAATGCTCTAAATAAATGTAGTCCATGTTCTAGTTTCTAAACGTAATCAATGTTTCTGAATATATTGTTGATTTGAGTTTGATTACACCTGCTACTCATGTTAAAAGTTAATATTTTGGCCATACTTAATTCTTTCTCCTTTTCCCAACCCAGTAACTGCCTCCTCCTCCTACTACTGTACTGACCTAGCTAAATTTCCTTCTCCCAAATATTATTATGTACATTTGCTGCAACATGATTCTAGGTAGCCATTTCTCTACCCTATCCTGCAGCTTGTTTAAATCTTTTTCATTACGTCCTGTAATCTTCTTCACCCTTAACAGTTTTGCATCATCTGCAAACATTGCCATGAATGATCTTATTAGGTCAAGGTCACTCACACAAATTAAGAACAGCAGGACCTGCTAACCACTATGACTATCAGCTTCCTTGTTTGCCTGGTACTCCAAAACTGATCCAGTACCCTACAGTTATTCAGGCTTGTTTCTCCATCAAATGTAGGATCTAATGTTTTTCTGGAAGGGCTCCTATGGAGGCTCCCAGTTGCTAGCTACCTAGCTAGCTCCACTCAATTCAATCCATGAAAGCCCTGAGAGTCATTGTGAGCCTGTCAGGACCCAAAGGCCAAACCCTGGCCCCCCCACCTTTCCCTCCTGTAAAGAGAGGCAGGGAGCTTGAGGATACTAGCTCATTAAGATCATAATAAAGCCAGTGACTGAAACAATAAAATCAGCACGGTAAGGTAACAACAGAAGAGAAAACAAGACACCGAGACAAAGCACCTGGAACACTCGCTAGGTACACCTGTGTGCTGCCAGGAGGCTATGCACCTCCAACTACTCTGATACCGGCCATGACACGTCAGTCATATTGCCTAGTTCATCACATCAACATGTCACGGTTAAGTGCCTCATTTCCACCAGTTTCTTCCCAGTCCAAATTATTAAGATAACTGATGGCCACCCTGGACTTTGTCTTGTGGGGGTCGGTCATATCTAACTACTCACCTGTTCTTGGTTCCAGGACTTAATGTCCATGCAGCCAGGTCTCTGATTAAGTCTCCTGATTAGCAGTCTGGTCAACCAGGCTGTTGGATGCTGCTCTTCACAATCTTCACAATCCCAGTCCGGTTGATCAAGAATCTTTTGCAAGAGTATCCTAAATTCTCTTTTGAACACCTTGAGAGGTCGGCTAGTTATGCTCCTTATATTTCCAGAGTGTTGAAAAGTCTTGGGCCCCAATGTTGTCAGGATTCTCTCAATGTACCTGTTGTACATCTGCTTTTCACTAGGACTCTTCTGTACTTCCAAAGCATGCCTCCTGGTGTTGCAAGGTATTATTTTCTTGAGCAGATTTGAACCAGTCCTGCTAGTATTTTTTAAGTATAAAGTACTCTCTCTCTCTAAACTCTAAGTAATATCTGCACTACAGAGAACATAGATTTACAAATTGTAAATGTTCCCAATAATTTGGAAGTTTCCTTTAAAGAATTCGGGTAGTAAAAGATCTCTACACGTTTTCCAGTTAAGCAACTTCTCCGTCTTTGAATTGAGCAGTTAGTGTGCAACATTATTCCACCTTAGAGAGAGCTAGTGTCTTAAAAGAGCACCATGATTTGTCTGGTGTCTCTTTGTCTGGGTTCTTGTTTGAAAGACTCATTATCCAGCCTGTCATTTTTCTTGCAAGTGTCACAATTACCATATGGTGTTTTTTAAAAGTAATGTCTTCCGACATTATCACTCCTAAATTTTTCATAATATTTTTTCTTTCTATTGTGTGACTTGGCTGAGTACTAATTCTACATTTTAGTATTTGCTTTGTTTGTGTATGTTTCTCTGCCTCATTACATGTGTGTGACTGGTTAACTGTTCACCACAATCTGCACGTGCCTGGAGTACACTTCTCTAGGTGCTCGCTGTGTTGCCACTGCCCCGGGCTCATGATGACTGCAAATATGCTGCTTTTGCAGTATTTTCCAATGTCTTTGGCAGATAATTGTTCCAAAAGAGAACTTGACAAACATCTTCAAAGGATACCTAATCAAGCAGGTTGTAACTTGTATATCAGGATGCAAGCAGCCGCATCGAACAGCCTGGTTGACCAGATTACCAACCAGGAGGCTTAGTCAAGAGGTAAAGGGGGTTTTGATGGACTCCGAGGTCAGGTTATGCATATGGACTATGGACTATGAACTATCTGAATATGGACTAACAGGGTCATGAGGGGCCATGTATTTAGTCAAATGTCCCTGGTCCTAATTGGTATTGTGTTGCCCTGGGATGTGTTTCCCAGCATTGGTCTCTCCTTCCATATAGTAACTGCCACCTCTCCTCTATGGTCAGTCTCTCAATTTTTATTAAGCTACAGGGCCACATTAAGCCACAACCACCACACCACACCACACCACAAGTTCCATACGATGAACCAACTCAATATACTTTGTTTAACCGTATTATTAATTATCTTGTGTACTCCACTTCTTCATAACACTTTCTTCCCTATCCTCATAAGACCACAAACACATCTCAAGAGTATCATGTCTACAGCTCTAACTTGTGATTTGTTATATTCACGCCACACACCAGTGTCTCATCCATACATAGTTCACACCACACCCACATCTCATCCACACCAGTGTCTCATCCATACATAGTTCACACCACACCCACATCTCATCCACACCAGTGTCTCATCCATACATAGTTCACACCACACCCACATCTCATCCACACTAGTGTCTCATCCGTACATAGTTCACACCACACCCACATCTCATCCACACCAGTGTCTCATCCATACATAGTTCACACCACACCCACATCTCATCCACACCAGTGTCTCATCCATACATAGTTCACACCACACCCACATCTCATCCACACTAGTGTCTCATCCGTACATAGTTCACACCACACCCACATCTCATCCACACTAGTGTCTCATCCGTACATAGTTCACACCACACCCACATCTCATCCACACCAGTCTCACCCGTACACTTCACACCACACCCACATCTCATCCACACCAGCGTCTCATCCATACATAGTTCACACCACACCCACATCTCATCCACACTAGTGTCTCATCCATACATAGTTCACACCACACCCACATCTCATCCACACCAGTCTCACCCGTACACTTCACACCACACCCACATCTCACTCACACCAGTGTCTCATGCGTACAGAGTGCTCTCGCCACACTAGCATCACGCACAGCAGCAGCAGCAGTGTAGTACGTAAGGCACAGCACTACCACTACTTCACGCAGCTCATAAACGTATAACCCCCTCAAACTTCTCCCCTTACTGGGGCTTTCACCGTCGCGACCACTCTCCTTCCAGGCTCACTCTCAACTCACTCTCAGCCCTCTTTTTAATATTTGCAGATCCCAAGTACAGCATTTAGACTGATCAGCTATTTCAGAACTTCTCTGTTTACTAGAACTTTAATGTTACATTCTATCCCCACTACCATTACTTTCCCTTGTTTACATTCACTACCATTACTTTCCCTTGTTTACATTCACTACCATTACTTTCCCTTGTTTACATTCACTACCATTACTTTCCCTTGTTTACATTCACTACCATTACTTTCCCTTGGTTTACATTCACTACCATTACTTTCCCTTGTTTACATTCACTACCATTACTTTCCCTTGTTTACATTCACTGTCATCAGCGCTTTTATTTATATATCAACAAAACTTTCAACTACTCTATATATACTGTTTATCTGTCATCTAACAACGCAAGAATGTCATTATCTACACATATATCAGCAGTAGCAGTAATTTAAAAAGATGTATTATCTAAATTTCAATGTGGGTGCAGGAACAATTTCATAGTACTAAAGTGCAAGAACTGATTAAATAAATTACAAATAAAAAAAGAGAAAATCGGGGATATTCCCTAGAAAGAGGTCTCTATTAATTTAAAGCTTAGTGCGAGTCTCGTGTTAAAACTTACATGATGTAATGGAGGCGTCATATAGGGCATCTCTTCGTTGGCTGGTGTTCGTCCCGAGATGGCTAAGGCTGCCTGGATTTCTGTAGATGGAGGTCGGTCCGAGATGGCTCCTATGCTATGTGGAGAAGTCGGCGAGGGTGCAGAACCAGACACAGATGATCGGGCATTGAGGTGCGGTGATCGCGGTGAAGATGGGCCCTTACCCGAGGATGCAGAGGTTATTGAAGTTGTCATTAGCCCGCTGTCTGGAGGACCAGCAGTAGTAACCGACTCCTCTTCTATATCAAACCTTTTCTCTGGTACTGGAGGAGCAGGTTCATAACCTCCTTCCGAGTCCCATCCAGAACTGTTGGAATGTCAACTAATCACTTCTCTTCTCTCAAATGTCAATTTACTTCATGCATTTCAATTACATATTTCTACAAACACATTTGTTTGATGCATACATCTGAAATAATTCATATTACAGTATATTAATTTTCGCACACGTTTAAACAGATGTTCGTATATTTTACTCTTTCCTTCCAGTCAAATAGCTGGAAGGTGATGAGTGGAAGACAGAAAAGAAACAAGTGACAAAAGCTACTGACACTGCAGCTGAGGCAGAAAACTCCTCTGTCGTCATCTGAGGTGCATGCCATGAGATGGTAACAAGGAACATCAAATGCTACTATAACCAAGCAAATCAGTAGATAAAATCAATCATTAAGTATGCAGTAATGAAATGTCTACATCTGGTGCCACTGCCACAGCTTGGCAAGTAGCTGTGGCAGTGTAGCAACCATATACTGGCAATCTGGTAACAAAATCAATCTGTTATTTAGATGGATTTGCTACCTGGAGGTTCAGATGTTGAAGGTATCACTGTACACCTTTTGTGTACAATTCTACTTAGAATCCATTTGAAAGAACACCTTTGGCTATATTTTTTTTTTTTTTTTTTTTTTTTTTTTGAGATATATACAAGAGTTGTTACATTCTTGTACAGCCACTAGTACGCGTAGCGTTTCGGGCAAGTCCTTAATCCTATGGTCCCTGGAATACGATCCCCTGCCGCGAAGAATCGTTTTTTTCATCCAAGTACACATTTTACTGTTGCGTTAAACAGAGGCTACAGTTAAGGAATTGCGCCCAGTAAATCCTCCCCGGCCAGGATACGAACCCATGACATAGCGCTCGCGGAACGCCAGGCGAGTGTCTTACCACTACACCACGGAGACTGTAAATATATATTATGTGATACTAATGTAGATAACGTAGATATGTAGATAACGGTCATCACTAACCTCTTGTCTTTGGTAATGGCTTTAGGATCATCGTAATTATCAGTGTCCGTTTCTGGATCCTCAGAATCATCACGGACTACCTTAGCGTATGGATGATCCTCTGAAAAACATAAATAAAAAATTCATAAAAAACCAGCATTGAATGCAATGAAACACCATTTTCTGGGTGAGCCCTGGAGGCTCCCTGAAGCTAACTACCCATAGATAAGTACCCTACCCAAGACATGTCGCTAAAAACTGCCGCAAGAGCAGCATACAGTACTTTTTAACATCATGGGCACAATGGTAGACCGCAGGGAGGCAGAACTTCATGGCACACATGAGCCCTTGAACAGGAAACCAAAGAAACCAGATTCACCCCAGAGAGTGTCCACCAACACAAACCCAGCGGCTCACAGTTGGCGGTGTAAAGCCACCACTGGACACAACACATGACACACCCCCAAACCTAACCAACCATCCACAACCAATGGACCCATCCTGAAGAGGAGTCTGGATGCCACAAAAGAAGGAGAAGCCTGCAAACAAACAAAATGACCACCTGAACCAAATGACTCCTCACAGAAAACATCAATATACAATACTAAATAAACAAGAATGCATCACAGGTATCTATCAATTCCTCTCTGAGATTCGGGTGGGTGGGGCACATAGTTTGAAATAGTGGTTAAGCCTTCAAGCATATTTTGGGATGGGTAGATGGGTTGGTTTTTGGTTGTTGGGTGCACTGAGGAGCACAACAACCTTTCTGGCTGTTGGGAGGGTGGGCTTCTGGTTCTTGGGTGGGTGGGCTTCTGGTTCTTGGGTGGGTGAGTTTCTGGTTCTTGGGTGGGTGGGCTTCTGGTTCTTGGGTGGGTGGGCTTCTGGTTCTTGGGTGGGTGGGCTTCTGGTTCTTGGGTGGGTGGGCTTCTGGTTCTTGGGTGGGTGGGCTTCTGGTTCTTGGGTGGGTGGGCTTCTGGTTCTTGGATGGGTGGGCTTCTGGTTCTTGGGTGGGTGAGTTTCTGGTTCTTGGGTGGGTGGGCTTCTGGTTCTTGGGTGGGTGGGCTTCTGGTTCTTGGGTGGGTGAGTTTCTGGTTCTTGGGTGGGTGAGTTTCTGGTTCTTGGATGGGTGAGTTTTTGGGTCTTGGGTGGGTGAGTTTCTGGTTCTTGGGTGGGTGGGCTTCTGGTTCTTGGGTGGGTCGGCTTCTGGTTCTTGGGTGGGTGGGCTTCTGGTTCTTGGGTGGGTGGGCTTCTGGTTCTTGGGTGGGTGAGTTTCTGGTTCTTGGGTGGGTGAGTTTCTGGTTCTTGGATGGGTGAGTTTCTGGGTCTTGGGTGGGTGAGTTTCTGGTTCTTGGGTGGGTGAGTGTCTGGTTCTTGGGTGGGTGAGTTTCTGGTTCTTGGGTGGTTGAGTTTCTGGTTCTTGGATGGGTGAGTTTCTGGTTCTTGGGTTGGTGGGCTTCTGGTTCTTGGGTGGGTGGGCTTCTGGTTCTTGGGTGGGTGGGCTTCTGGTTCTTGGGTGGGTGGGCTTCTGGTTCTTGGGTGGGTGGGCTTCTGGTTCTTGGGTGGGTGGGCTTCTGGTTCTTGGGTGGGTGAGTTTCTGGTTCTTGGGTGGGTGGGCTTCTGGTTCTTGGGTGTGTGGGCTTCTGGTTCTTGGGTTGGTGGGCTTCTGGTTCTTGGGTGGGTGAGTTTCTGGTTCTTGGGTGGGTGAGTTTCTGGTTCTTGGATGGGTGAGTTTCTGGTTCTTGGGTGGGTGAATTTCTGGTTCTTGGGTGGGTGAGTTTCTGGTTCTTGGATGGGTGAGTTTCTGGTTCTTGGGTGGGTGAGTTTCTGGTTCTTGGGTGGGTGAGTTTCTGGTTCTTGGGTGGGTGAGTTTCTGGTTCTTGGATGGGTGAGTTTCTGGGTCTTGGGTGGGTGAGTTTCTGGTTCTTGGATGGGTGAGTTTCTGGTTCTTGGGTGGGTGAGTTTCTGGTTCTTGGGTGGGTGAGTTTCTGGTTCTTGGGTGGGTGAGTTTCTGGTTCTTGGATGGGTGAGTTTCTGGTTCTTGGATGGGTGCGTTTCTGGTTCTTGGATGGGTGAGTTTCTGGTTCTTGGGTGGGTGGGCTTCTGGTTCTTGGGTAGGTGGGCTTCTGGTTCTTGGATGGGTGAGTTTCTGGTTCATGGGTGGGTGGGCTTCTGGTTCTTGGATGGGTGAGTTTCTGGTTCTTGGGTGGGTGGACTTCTGGGGACAGATTCACAAAGCAGTTATGCAAGTACAGTACTTACGAACGTGTTCATCTTTCCTCGATCTTTGACGGCTTTGGTTGCATTTATTAAACCATTTACAGGCATGAAAACTTCCCAATCAACTGTTGTTATTGTTATAAACAGCCTCCTAGTGCTTCGGAGTTCATTAACTGTTTAATAATTGTAATTGTCATGGCCGACTTAGTTAAGGTGTATCCTAGGGAGTACCAAGTGTGTAGGTTCAAAGCCTCACCATGGTTTCTACTGATTTTCTCAATGATACATCATGTTAATGTGATTTCTTTGAGATCAAAATTGGAAGATACAGTAGTGGTGTGGTGCCCATATCTCAAGGAGCACAAACAAATTAGAAAGAGTGCAAAATACTGTACGTGCTATTAAATGGCTCCCGGAACTTAAGAACACGAACTATGATGAGAGGATGGAATAAGAGGATTATTCAAAATAATCCAGACAGAAGATAATAGTACTGTATAATAGAAAATTATACTATTATATTCTAGCCTTCGCATCAAGCATGCTAAGGCTAGAAAACAAGAGGAAAAAGAGGCGATATGATCACTTTGTAAAAAATAGAAACAGGAATCAATAAAATAGACAAAGATGAATTTTTTTGAAGCTTGCAACTTTGCAAACAAGAGGTCACAGAGTCAAGCTCAGACAACAAAGGTGTCGAGAAAAATGTAAGAAAGGTCTCACTTGTAAACAGAGTTGTAAACACTTGGAAAAAGGCAAGTGAGAAGGTGGTGGATGCCAAAACCATCAGCAGTTTCAACGCATCATAGAACAGTTTACTGAGAAGACCAGACACCATGAGCATAGCTCTACTCCTGTAACTATTATCAGGTAATTGCACTGTCTTCATCACTGTAACAATTTTCATTCCACACCACTTTTATCACTGTAACTATCTACACTAAACACAGCCATCTTCACTGTAACCACTTTCATTACACTCTGTATCTTCATTACTGTAACCCTCTACATAAAGGGTTCTCCCTTCATGCTGTATCTACATTACTGTAACCCTCTACTAAATGAAGACATGGCCATCATTACTCTAACCCACATTCACTATACAGCATCTTCATCAATAAACTACATAAGAAACAAATATTTTCAACTTTATGTATTATCCTGTCAAGCACACACACGCACACTGATTAAGAACTTTTTTAGTGTCAGAGTGGTTGACAAATGGAATGCATTAGGGGGTGATGTGGTGGAGGCTCACTCCATACACAGTTTCAAGTGTAGATATGACAGAGCCCGATAGGCTCAGGAATCTGTACACCTGTTGATTGACGGTTGAGAGGCGGGACCAAAGAGCCAGAGCTCAACCCCCGCAAACACAACTAGGTGAGTACAACTAGGTGAGTACTGATGGTACTTGTGTGCCTTAACCAGTATACTACAGTCAGGTTTCTCTTCATCTGGGGACGCCCCAACATTTAACCATCATGTAGAAAATAATACACTGGATGAATCTTAGTAAGGAAGGAGCCTGGAATTTAGAGACATTGTAATTTAGTATCATTTGCCATTTCATGCAAAGAGGAGAAAGGAGGTCGACCCCTGACCCACCTATAACCATCTTCTTGAAGTTATCTTGAGATGAGATTATCTTGAGATGAGGTTATCTTGAGATGATTTCGGGGCTTAGCGTCCCAGCGGCCCGGTCCTCGACCAGGCCTCCTTTTTGTTACACACACCTAGCCCTTAAACAGGGCAAATCATATATATATGCTTTCAGTGACAAAACCGAAACCGCGCATGTCATATATATATGATTTCGTGTCTAGCGCTATAATTTAAACGCCCCACCTGGGATAGGGGCAGCTATAGTGCAGCCATGACCGATAGTTGTCAGATGCCACCTAGAAAAAAAATCCAGGCCAACATTCTTGGGTGTGAGAGCTTCAGTATTGAGCAAGCCACCAAGGCTGATGCACGCTGCATGAGCTCACAGCACCGCTGTTCAGCTTGTGACCACAGCATCGCCTACAAATGCCATAATAAATATGTTCCTGCTATTATTTAGCAATGATAGTATTACAGAAGACCCCCCTGACTGTGATAAAACTGACCAGGATTCTGATAATAGCAGGATTGTGGTGATATTTAGTGCTGTGCTCCATGGAGGGAGGAGTAATGCTGTGGGAGGGAGGGTGGTGGTGTTGTCTTCTGACTGTGTGTGGCCACCATTTATTGACTGCACTCACCATACCAGCTTAGTGGTTCGCTATGGTGAACACATATGTAGATACTTATATATAACGTGTGTATAGAGGGTAATAACAGCAATAGGAGTAGGTTGGGAGCTGCCATTTTGGTGAGGGAAGTGCGTCGTCTGCACGACTTATCATGCTGTTTACTGGTGGCCACTATGGTCTTTGGGCACCATACCAGCTTATTTATCATCAGGTTATTTTGAGATGATTTCAGGGCTTTAGTGTCCCCGCGGCCCGGTCCTCGACCAGGCCTCCACCCCCAGGAAGCAGCCCGTGACAGCTGACTAACACCCAGGTACCTATTTTACTGCTAGGTAACAGGGGCATAGGGTGAAAGAAACTCTGCCCATTGTTTTTTGCCGGTGCCCGGGATCGAACCCGGGACCACAGGATCACAAGTCCAGTGTGCTGTCCGCTCGGCCGACTGACTCCCAACCGGCTTATGTGTACAGGTATGGTGAATAAAACAGGTAGATACCTATATATAATGTATGTATATAGCATAATAACACCACAAACAATATTGCTGGAGGAGAAATATTAGTGCGTCTGGCCTTGAGGGCGGCCGCCACCAGCTGACTGTGTGAGTAGCTACGTCTTTGTGCCTTTACTCACCATACAAGCTTAGATGTGCAGTTATGGTGAACAAAACATGTAAATACTTAGATATAACGTCTGTGTATAGTGAATAAATGCACAAACAGCATTGTGGAAGGAGAATGAGGGCGAGTGAGGTGTTGTTGAGGGAGGGAGTGGCAGCGAGTGGCTGGCTGGTGTGTGGCGGTCACTCCTCGTTGCTTTTTGACTCAATACCAACTTAATGGTTCGTTATGGTGAGCAAAACATGCAGATATTTATATATAACCTGTGTGTATATATACTTATATATATAACCTGTGTATAGATTTAACTTATATATAACCTAAGTTTTCAGTTAGTTATATAACCTGTGTATATAGTGTAATAACAGCACAACTACTTGTTTATTGTTTTATGAACATAATAATTGAATCACTAATATGCACACCATAATTTTGAGTACAGCGATGGTTCACACATTTTATTATATAAATATATCACAATTCACTGCATTGAATAATATTACTGCAAAAAAACTAAGAAAAAATCAGAGACATATTGAAATAATTAGGTAATAATATATTTGTGGCAACTGCCGCCTGACAGCTCGAGCGGAGTAGACCTCATCTGGCGAAAGCTCTGTCAACGCCCCTTTTTTGCCAGACTGCCCCACCCTATTGCGGCTAAAATATGCCACCTACAATTTTTTTGTTATTTTTTCCATAATCAGGGAACAAAAATGAACACTTCTATAAGACGAAAAAAAAATTGGAATTTTTTTTTTGATGCGCCTGTGGGGTGTTAAATCCATTTGGGCTCCTAGCGGTTTGAGGGCTAGGAAGCAGCCCGTAGCAGCTGTCTAACTGCCAGGTACCTATTTACTACTAGGTAACAGGGACATCAGTGAAAGAAACTCTTTGCCCATTTGTCTCCGCCTCCATCGGGTATCATACCCGGAACTTCAGGACTACGAATTCGAAGCGCTGTCCACTCAGCTATCAGGCGCCCTATCCCCCATCAACGACCAATCATACTGCAATGTTTGGTGAGGCTAGCCCCAAGTGTCTGGCTTCCAACCTCAGCTGGACACAGATATTTTATTTTTTAACAGATACAGTGTCTTTGGTCACTTAAATAAATGAACAGGAAGGTAGGATCTGAACCATAACGTGGTCAATAACATTGTATATATACTACTATTATACACTAAGTTGAATAGGATTTTTCACAACCTTATCCCCCCCCCCCACCAAAGGAAACAGTGATAATGATGATAGTTCATTTTAACTATTCCAAATGAAAATGTTATTCATGGACTTGAACAACCAAAATAATTTCCACTTACTCTTTGGTAGTTTGACATGAGCATATGGATGATTCTTCTTCACTTTGGCATATGGGTGAGCTGCAGTTGCTATCCCTGATCCCACAACACCATCTACGTGTGGTGGAGCAGCAGGCTCGGTTGGCGACGTGTGTGTTGGGTCCCGAATGATAGCTGCACGACCGTCTGGTCCTATAGCACCAGCAGGAAGGACCTGAACCCCACCAATAACTTTTCCTATGCCACTTCCACCTGCTGAAAGCAAAGTAAATGCCCTATCATAATACATGCCCTATGATGATCAATGTCGTATCATAATAAATGGTCTTATATAATAAATGCATTTTGTAAATATGCCCATTTCATTTTGAACATGTTAATGACTTGGATTTTAACAACAAATAAGAAAAATTCAAAATGACTGTCACAAAGAGTAATAAAATACAGAAGGAGATAGATAAAAAAAGAAAAACAAATGAATGTTAATTAGATCTCTTAATGTTACTTTATGCCATGCAATTGCAAATTGTAAAGTTGGTAGGATTGAGTTAATGAGTTATTATGGTTGATTTATGAAGAGATGGTTAGACTCATTGAGTTTCTTTACCAGCATGGCCTAAAATATTGAGGTGTAGGAATATGCAGTGGACAGAGAGTGGACCCTGTAATTATGACAAGAACTTATGCTACCCTCCTTGAAGAAGCAAACCATGTTTTCCTTATGGTTTGGAAAGGGGGGAAACTCGTTAAAGTGACAGTCATTTCAACCACGCCGGAAGCCATCCACTCTGAGATGGTGGATCGACACAGCAACAGCAGAGGCCAAGATCCATGTATTTGGCTGCCTGCCGAGTGTTCCCCATATATCCTCAGTAAGCCATTCAGCTCAAGGAAACCCAGGAAATGCACACAAATAAGCCTGTCCTCATAAACAAAGGTCAAAGTGCTTTCTATTGTCCCCGCCAAACCCCCTGTTTATGAATGAAAAACAGTTTACACAAGACTCAACTGATGATGCCTGTCATCAGTTGTGATGACAGAGCGTCGTCGTCAGTGCTTCGCTGACCACTTTTTTCGAACCACAATGCTGTAAAAGCTTCACTCATGTACTACAAATACAAATAATCCTTAACAGAACTTAAACACTTAACATAACCAATGCCTAAATATCCACAAAATGCTAATATATAATAATATTCATTTATATTTGAGAAAATTCCCGTTTTGAATGAACAGCATGTTAAAATTTATGAATGCATCTTTGGGGTCAACCGCTGGATGGAATGGACTTGGTCTGAGGACAGGTTCCCAAATACAGACAGGCATAAAGGTCAACCACCACAAGTGCTCCCGACAACAGGGAACCTGGGAATGGAGCTGCACAAAACCCAAGCCCCGAGAATGAGTGGTACCAAACAGGCAGTCACTGACAGGTGCAAAACACCTGCAGCACGGTCACCACCTCATACCACTCCAGCATGTGGGTTTGACAAACTGCACCAAGTGAGAACATTGGCTTGTCTGCCAGCAAGGATGTATCTAGAACTTCAGAATGCCTCCAATATGGAGAAGACAACCCAAACTCAAAAAGGGAGGGGGGTTACCTTGAGGTGATTCCGGGGCTTAGCGACCCCGCGGCCCGGTCGTCGACCAGGCCTCCTTATTGCTGGACTGGTCAACCAGGTTGCTGGACTGGTCAACCAGGCTGTTGAACGCGGCTGCTCGCAGCCTAACGTATGAGTCACAGCCTGGTTGATCAGATATCCTTTGGAGGTGTTTGTCAAGTTCTCTCTTGAACACTGCGAGGGGTCGGCCAGTTATGCCCCCTTATGTGTAGCGGAAGCGTGTTGAACAGTCTCGGGCCTCTGATGTTGATAGAGTTTTCTCTCAGAGTACCTGTTGCACCTCTGCTCTTCAACAGGGGTATTCTGCATATCCTGCCATACCTTCTGGTCTCATGTGCTGTTATTTCTGTGTGCAGGTTTGGGACCAGCCCCTCTACTATTTTCCATGTGTAAATTATTATGTATCTCTCCCGCCTGCGCTCAAGAGAGTACAGATTTAGGCTCTTTAGTCGGTCCCAATAGTTTAGGCGTTTTACTGAGTGGATTCTAGCAGTAAAGGATCTCTGCACACTCTCTAGGTCAGCAATTTCTCCAGCTTTGAAAGGGGCTGTCATTGTGCAGCAGTATTCCACTCTAGAGAGCACTAGCGTCTTGAAAAGTATCATCATTGATATAGCATCTCTGGTGTGAAAGGTTCTTGTTATCCAACCTATCATTTATCTTGCAGTTGTGATGGCTACTTTATTGTGTTCTTTAAATGTAAGGTCTTCCGACATCAGTACACCCAAATCCTTTACATTGCCTTTCCATTCTATGTTATGATTTGACTGAGTTTTGTACGTAGTTTCCGTTTTTATATTTTCATTTTTTCCGTAGCGCATGAGCTGAAACTTATCTTCGTTTAACACCATAGAAGGACCTGATTGACATCTGATTGGAGGTTTGCCATGTCCTCTATGTTGTCTACTCTCATAAAAATCCTAGTGTCATCTGCAAAGGATGATACAGTACTATAGGTTGTGTTCTTGTCTATGTCCGATATGAGGATGAGAAAAAGTACTGGAGCAAGTACAGTACCCTGGGGGGACTGAGCTCTTTACGGTTGATGGTCCGGATTTTATTTTGTTGACTATTACACATTGGGTTCTATTAGTCAGGAAATTGTAGATACATCGGCCTATTTTTCCAGTAATTCCTTTTGAACGCATTTTATGTGCAATAACACCATGGTCACATTTGTCAAAGGCTTTTGCAAAATCTGTGTAAATTACATCAGCATTTTGTTTGTCTTCCAAGGCATCTAATGCCATGTCATAGTGGTCCAGCAACTGTGATAGGCAAGAGCGCCCTGTTCTGAAACCATGTTGTCCGGGGTTATGGAGATGCTGTGATTCCATGTATTTTGTGATCTTACTTCTTAGCACTCTCTCAAAGATTTTTATGATGTACGATGTTAGTGCTATCGGTTTGTAATTTTTTGCCTCTGCCCTATTTCCTCCTTTATGGAGTGGTGCTATCTCTGATGTTTTTAATATGTCAGGGATAATGCCAGTATCTAGGCTTTGTCTCCACAGAATGTGAAGGGCCTGCGAAAGCAGTTTTTTACAGTTCTTGATGAATATAGAGTTCCAAGAGTCAGGGCCTGGTGCAGAGTGCATAGGCATACTGTTTATGGCTTCTTCAAAATCTAGTGGGGATAGGGTGATGTCTGATATATGATTTGATGTTGGTATCATGTCCATGAAAAATTCATTTGGGTTATCAATCTTTAGTGCGTTTAATGGCTCACTGAAAACAGTCGTACTGCTTCCTCAGTAGCTAGCTCATTTCTTTGTTGTCATCGGTGAAAGTTCCATCTCCCTTTCGCAGGGGCCCGATACTAGATGTGGTTTTTTATCTTGATTTTGCATAGGAGAAAAAATATTTTGGATTTCTCTCTATTTCACTGATGGCCTTTTGCTCTCTTTGTCTCTCCTGGGTTTTGTATGATTCTTGTAGATTTAGTTCAATTGTTTCTATTTCTCTACCTAACCTTCTTCGCCGTTCTTGAGATAGGGTGCGACTCAAGTTGTTCCTCGAATTGTTTTCTTCGCCTATAAAGGGAATGATGTTCCCGTTCCAATCTGCATCTCTTCCTCTTTTTTCTTAGGGGTATGCAGTTTGAACATATTTCTAGTGCTACTGGGCTTATTTTTTCCAGGCACTGGTACAGGTTTGCATTTTCTAGCTGTTCTTCCCAGCTTATTTGTGTGAAGTCTTGGTTTATTTGCTCCCAGTTTATCTGTTTATTATTGAAGTTGAATTTGCTGAAATCTCCTCCATCGGGAATCGGGACTGGTTTTGAAGGTCTATTCCCCATGCTAGTCAGAACTTCAATTAAGTTGTGATCTGAGTAACAGGTATTTGTAATCATAATGTTCCTGATCAATTCATCATTATTAGTGAAAATGAGGTCCAGCATGTTCTCCTTTCTAGTTGGTTCTACTATTTGCTGGTTTAAGGCAAACCTGTCGCACATCTGTAGCAGATCATTTGCATGTGCCTGTTCATTTAGGCTAATTCCTGGAATTCTCTCTGATACAATCGTATCAGCTATGGTCTTCCATTTCAGGTGCTGTAGGTTGAAGACCCCAAGAAGGATGATATTTGGGGCTGGATTTGTGAGGTTTTCTAAGCAGTGTTCTATTTTCATTAGTTGGAATTTAAACTGCTGATGATTTGCCTCCGTTGACTTATATACAAGGACAATAACTACATTTAAGATCTCTATTTTGATTATTAGCACTTCCACCATATCATTTGTGGTGTTTAGCAGCTCAGTACAGATGAGTGTGTCTTTGATGTAGAGGCTGACCCCCCACCCTGTAGCCTGTGTTTCCTGTCACATCTGTAAAGATTGTACCCCGAAATCCACATTTCACCATCATGGTAGTCCTTGGTTTGAGTTTCCGTTAGGGCTGCAAACACTGCATTTGCCTCATGTAAGAGGCCATCTATGAAGTGCACTTTGTTACATTTGCGTGTTTTTATACCCTGAATGTTGGCAAATAAAAATGATGTTATGTTTGTGGAAGTGCTGGATGCCTTACTTGGTGTTGATATCTGAGGCTCTGGTAAGGAGGCCACTGTGTTTGCGACCTCTCCAGCATTTGACCGAGTTGATGGTAAAGCCTGGACATTTTTAGCCATTCTTCTCCTCCTCCTCTTGCTAAAAAATCATCCTGGTAAATAGTGTTTTGACTGCCTTCATCGAGATGGATTGTCGGTCTTATTTGCTTGGTACCTTTTATATGAAAAGTTGGACATTGTGTGTTGAAACATTCATTCTTATTTAAAGAGTTGTTGCACAGTTCTGGGTGAAAGAGATCATCATCAGACCATCAGAAAGGCATAATCTGGGTCTCACAGGAGGTATGTAAATAAAAGCCTCCAGAGCAGCCACAGGAGGAACCCAGACAGAAAGGAATCTCCAGAAGAATGGCCCAGAAAGACCCAGAGGTAAACGTAACCAAACCCTGAGGGAAGCCACAGCCAAATACACATATTGGGAGGGAGGATATGGAAAACCCCTTCCCCCTGCAAAAGGAGACTTCTCGGAGGAAACCAAGAACCACATAGAATTGAAAGGGACCCAAGAACCGAAAATTGACTTGCCACAGAAGAGGGCCACAGAGCAGACCCCATTGTCCT